ATATATATATATGCATATATATATATATATATGCATATATATATATATGCATATATATGTATATATTTAATACACACAGATATGCATTTAAGTATGTAGAAATACATCTGTTTATATGTTTATTTTTGGTTGGTGGCCAGGTACCAGAGACCACAGACTGATGGATTGGTATATATTTGAATGAAAGGAATAGGCTGCAATGATACATACATACAGTAAATACTGGTAAGAAGGCATGGGCAAAGTATTAATCTGATATTCTGACTTCTAATTTAATACAATGAAATGTGCATATCAAATATACCATTTGATGAGTTTTGACAAATGGCTATATTCCACTGACAACCCCCATAATCAAGATACAGAGCCTTTCTGCTTTAATCACTGCAAAGAAGTCTTCATATGCTTCTTTACAGTCAGTTCCTACCACTGTTCCCAGCCCCAGTCAACTATCTTGCCTGTCACTGTAGATTAACCTTGCCTTTTCTATAATTTCACATAAGTTTATATGGTAGGTACTCCAGATGCTTTTTCTGAACATAATGTTTTGGTGACCTTCTAGTGGTTGGGTGTGTATCAGGCAATGTGTACCTTTACATTTTGAGCAACATCTCAATGTATGGATGTGCCAAATTTGTATATCCATTCACTTGTCAGTCCTTTGGATTGTTTCCAAATTTTGGCTGTTATGAATAAAGTGCCTGTGAACATTTGTGAACAAGTTTTTGGTTGACATGTACTTTCATTTCCCTTAGATGAATACCTAGAGTAAAAACAAAGGATCATATTGCAACCGTACATTTAACTTCCTAAGAAATTATCAAACTGCTTTCCAAAATAGTTTTATCAATCTGTATTCATTCCAGAAATGGGGAAGTTGCAGTACCATATCTGTGCTACACTTGGTATTGACTGTCTTCTAAAATTTTAGCCATTCACATATTTTTTTTCTGATGATTGTTGCACATTTATAATGTGCTTAAGGGTAAACATGTCTTATTTATTATATGCCACGTCTATTCAACACTTATTACTGAGTTGTACAAGTTATGTACGTATCCTGATACAAATTCTTTGTTAGATACATGTATCAGGAATATTGGTTTTGCTAGTCTGTGCTTTACCTTTTATTTTCAGTGTCTTTTGAAGATCATAAACTTTATATTATGATAAGATTCAATTTGTTTCTTCTTTTTTTATCTTTCTGTTCCATTCTAAAAAAATATTTGCCTAAGCAAGGTATGGTGGCACATGCCTATAATCCTACCAACTCGGGAGGATCATAAGTTCAAGACCAGTCTTAGTGATTTAGCAAGGCCCTAAGTAACTAAGGGAGACCCTGTCTCAAAAATAAATAGGGCTGTGTGTGTGACTTAGTGCTTAACCACCCCTGGGTTCAATCTCTGAGTTAAAAAAAAAAATCTTACCTAACTCAAAGACCAAAGTTTTTTTCCTGTTTTTTTTTTTTTTTTTGGTAGAAATTTTATAGCTCAGCCAATTTGTTTTGAATTAACTTTGTATATACCATGGTATAACAGCTGAGGTTTGTGCGATTCCATATGGTTGTCCAGCGGTCACAGCACCTTCAGCTGTAAAAACCGTTCTACCTTCCTGGAGCTATCTGGGCATAGCTGCTGAAAATCAGCTGACCAGACATTGCACTTGCAGTAACTCAGTTCCAGTGAGCTCTTCTTATTTTTTAGTCTAACAACATTCCATCTTGATGAGTATAAGTTTATAATACATCTTAAGATCAGCTTCTAACTTTGTTTTCTGGAAAATTGCTGAGCTATTTAAAGTCCTTTGTATGTCCATACAAAATTTAGAACCAACTTGATTTCTATCAAAAAACAAAACAAAACAAAAAACATATTCTGGGGTTTTTGACTGAGACCAAATTGAATCTGTAGATCAACTGGGATAGTATTAACATCTTAAAAAGAATTCCAATTCATAAACATAGCACATCTATTTAATAATGTTTTGAATTTTTCAACAATATTTTATAGTTTTGTATAAAAATCTTGCATGCATTTTATTAAAATTATGCCTTACAGTTTCATGGTTTTAGAAATCATTGTAAATATTACTGGGCTGTTAATTTTGTTTTCCAATTATTTCTCTTATCTACAGAAATATGAGGGATTCTGTATATTGACTTTATATCATACAACATTACTAAAGACTCATTTTTTTAGTTCTACCAGCTTTTTTTGTAGATTACATAGGATTTTCAACATACATGATCAGATCACCTGTGAAAAATGAAAGTTTTCCTTTTCCTTTTATAAACTCTTGCCTTTTATTGTCTTATTGTACTGCTATAACTTCTAATATAGTGTTGAATAGAAAGCTGTGCTTGTTCATTTTTCAACATTACATTTGCTGTTTGTTTTTGTAGATGCCTTTTATCATGTTGAAAAGTTACCATATATTCCTTATCAGCTGAGAAGTTTTTCTCCTTTTAAAACCATGTGTTGAAATATGCTAGGTTCTTTGCATTAATTGAAATGATCATTTGTTTTCTTTTATTCTATTAATATGATGAATAACCTTGTGTGCTTTTTTTGAATGTTAAATCAAGTTGCACTTCTGCAATAAATTCCATTTAGTCATACTATATTGTTCTTGTTATATATGGCTGAATTCAGTATGTCAATCTTTTCTGAGGACTTATGCAACAAGGCCCATGAGAGGGACTGTACTATATAGCTTTCTCGCAGTGCTTTAGTATATAAGTGCCTTGCATATATCATAGTGACTAGTTTTTATTTATTTTTCTTCACCAAGAAAACATGAGAATTCTCTAAATTCCTATATTTTCACAAAGACAGAATAGTTACCTCAAAGAAAAATCCTTTATATTTTAATAAACCCTTCATACTTTGTTTAGAAACAACACACAAATGTGATGAATCACATCAATACTCTCATTAGCTCAAAGCCTTACTAAAAATTATGAATGAAAGTTCCTGAGAGCTGATATTTTTATTGTTGTTTACTACATTCTTTGAGTCCTTCATGGATATACTGACCACTTAGAGATAAATTCCTATTTCCCTGAAACACATTGAAACTTCTGAGGTTTTTGATTTTTCTTAGCCAATTCAACATTACCTTCAAAGAGAATTGATAGATAGGGTTGATTTTTCTGAGATCATTAATAACAAAATAAAGAAGGGATGCTCTTGCTGCAACTGGTCTGTAACATTCTCGGGCCTCATTGATTTTTCTTTCATTTTCTTTGGCTTCAATCACCTATGGTGGGATCAAACAAAATTAGTAACTTACTCTTCATGTTCTCCAAACATACCCAGGCAATGGAAGGATGTATTTGAAATGAGAAAGGATTCATATTAAAATAAATAATACAAATGGCATCTAACTGCTTGAGCTTTTCTAATATTATTAAATCCATATTCTTAAATATTTTTTTTTTGTAAATTGAGTTTTAGTGTGAATGATTTCTGCTGCTTTACAGATCACAGATTGAAACAACACTAATTGTTTTGGGTCCTATAGAGTTTGTTTCTCAGGAATGTCACCTTCCTAGCTCCCCTTTCTCTTTCAGGGCTTAATAACCCAGCTATATCACCTCCCAGGGATGGCTCTTAAAGTCTGCTGAGTCAATTTGATGCCAACAACTTTATTAGGCAACAAGGTATACAAAAGCTGCCAAGGTCAATAATACATCCAATAGCAGTGCTCACTAAAAAGCATTTATACAAATACTGTCATGACCGTCTAATTTTAACTGCACCAGATCATCCATATGCTCATGTATTTCCATTTACTTTTATGTATTAGCCTCTGGGCATGTTTAGAGAGATAATTAAAAAAAAAAAACTACCACCATCCACCAACATATTCATTTTTATTCAAGGATCCAGTATCTGTTTCTTTTACCTAGGTCCATGGCTTTACAAGATACAATATTTCCCCAAAGTATTTCTATAAACTTGACTCATAGTATTATGTATAAAAGGAAATAAAATATAGAGAATAGGGAAGTTACTTACATGCAATATGTTAAGACAGGAAGTGATACTCTAAGAGACAATTAGAAGTTAACTTCAAAGCTAAGACTTAATTTACTTAATTGCCCTAATCTTTACTATCTTAGCAGCTACCTAGAATTCACTTTCTTAAAAGGATAGAGTAATTTGGAATTCTATTTCCTGACTTAATTTAAGACAAATATATTGGATGTTTGGTGACACAACTTCTGTTGGGTAATTAATAGATTGCTCAGTAATGAGGATATTCTAGAAAGCAAATCAGGGTCTAGTGCTGACTTGGAAACATTGGAATGTCAAGGGTTAGTGACCACGTGTGAAAGTTCAAAGTGCATACCATGCACATGGCATATGGAAACTCGTGTTGCACATTTAGCCAGAAGCCTACTGGATGAAAATTTCCACCAGTTTTGGGGAAATATCATTTTCCCAGGGTAAACAACGCATTTGAGTGAAGCAGGACACCATCTCTTGCTGTTTCCTGCCATTGCAGACCTATGAACAAATCTTCAGCTCCAAGGATTTCTCTAAAATGCCAACAGACTGGGGAAATTGTGCTAAGACTATAGGATATAAGTTTGCCTAAGCCAAATGCTAAGCCTTTTTAGATTTTTCCACCGTAGAAGACAGCAGGCTCCAGTTTTCTTCAAATTTGGGCACTCAAGAGAAATAATAGCCTGACAGAGTGTAATGTGAATGACTGGACTCTGAGGAATTAGAAGTAGGAGCTCAACCATTTCCATCTCCACTCTAAATCCCACACTGTCCAATTTTTAAGGGCATGTCGTTCAATGACCTGAATTCCACAACACATCATTCCTCTCAGAGGAAGAACCACTTTGATTGCACTGTAGTCCCAAGCATTTCATTCAAACAGAGCATGAAAACCCCCAGGCATTGTCTGCCTTTTCCTACCTTGTGCTCTATCTCTGCTGCGGTGGCCTTTGTAGTCTCCAGCCTCTCCACCAGGTTGGTGTCATCTAGGAAGCTTCCCTCTGCTGCCGAAAGGCGTAGGAGGAGGTCATCCTCCAGGTGCTTCAGCTCAATCTTAAAGTCATTTTGGTGCTTTGTCAAAACCAACTAATACAAACCAAGGAACATGTGAGAAATGGTGACTAAATATAAAATTTTAAGAGGGAGTTTCTTAATCACAAATTTCATAGCCAGTGTATATATAATAAAGCGCACAACATTAAAACCATACTGATCATACTCTAAAAACAATTCCTTTTGAAATTTCAGGAGGCATGGTAAGATCTAGCTGTACTCTCAGGTCATGAACATTTATTACAATCATTTAATTATCATAAACATGTAGAAATAATCTGTTTAATATCAGCAACTTCTGGTTTCCACTCTGACATGACATGATTTTTGAAGACTCATTTCTGTTCCCATAAAAAGACAAAGCTAAGCAATAATTCTTCCTCCAGAGAACTGAGGTCACAGGGCAAACTACCACCCTGAAAACTGGACAGTTTAAGTACAGAGAAGTCACTACTGGAACATTTAAAACCATAATTGGCTAATTGCTAGAGGCAGAGCTTGATAGTTAAAAATTCCTGGGCTCAGCTGTTAGGGGCCCTTCACACTTTTGTTTTACCTCCAGGAGCCCTACCAAATTCTCACAGAAGAGCAAAGAAAAATCTACTCCTGCCCTGGGCAGGGGCAGGGAAAGTAATCATTTTGTGCTGAACTCAGAGATAAGTAATCATTTCGAACATGTCTAGAACTTTCTATTCTTGTTAACAAACACTTGCCCGCTGGGAAAACAACTTTATCAGAGGCTAAGGTGACCTAGGGGGAAGGACAATTAGACTACTCAGCCTCCTCAGGACTTCCTGTCACACAGGAAGAGGAGGAAAAGCCCAGTGTGCAAGCCTACTAAAACACCTCTGAGATTGAATCATGAGTTTATGGAATACTTTCCACTCCAGAACTCTATCACTGGACTGGTAGGGAACAGTAGATTGCAGTTCAGAGAATTGAAAGACTCTATTTAAAAAAGGAGTTTTCAGGGAAACTCAAAACAACAGGGAAATTAAAAAAAAAGGGAAACTGAGGCCTATGACACCTTCCACTATAGGGGACATTAAACACAGCTAATGTCCTAGCCAGGTACACATAAATTTTTACCCTAAAACACTATTTACCTCAATTCTAATTATCTCATACATCACGTCCTTCTTCCAACAAAAAATTACAAGACATGACAGAAAAAAAAGCACAGTTTGAAGAGAGAAAAAAAAAATCACAGAATAAGACCCAAGTATGGTAGAAATTTGGGAATCATTGTGTGAGGGTTTAAAAATGACAATACTAGCCTGACACAGTAGTGTACAACTGTAATTGCAGCAGTTTGGGAGGCTGAGATAGGAGGATCACAAGTTCAAAGCCAGCCTCAGCAACTTAGTGAGCTCTTGTCTCAAAATTATAACAAACAAACAAACAAATGGGCTGGGGATATGGCTCAATGGTTAATCACTGCTGGGTTTAATTCCTGGTTAACCCTTCTCCCCTCCAAAGATGATACCTCATATACTAAAAACTCTACTGGAAAAAATAGACAACATGCAGGATCACATGGGTAATGTAAGCAGAGAGATGAAAACTCAAAGAATAAAAAGAGAATGCTCAAAATAAAAAGTGCTGTAACAAAAATAAACAATGCTTTTGACAGGTTCATCAAAAGACTGGATACTATCAAGGGAGGAAACAGTGAAGCTGAAGGTATGTCAATAGAAACCTCTTAAACTGAAAAGTAAGGAGAGAAAGTATGAAAATTTAAAAAGGAAACGAATGCCCAAGTACAATAAGATAATTACAAAGGTGTAGTACATACATGTAGTGGGAATACCGGAAGGAAAGAAAGAGGAAAGAGGACAGAATAAATATCAGAAGACTAATGGTTAAGAATATCTAAAAATTAATGACAAGCACCACGTATTCATGAAGCTCACAGGAAACTCAGCAAGATAAATACCAAGTCTACACTTGGGCATATCACATTCAAACTGCAGAAAATCAAAGATAACAAAAATAGTACTGAAAGAATCCAGGGAAAAATATACCTCATCTATGGAGGGAGATGTTCAAGAGGTACATGCGACTATGCAGCCAAGAAAAGAGTAAAATATTTAAAATATTTGCAGGAAAGAACCTAACTAACCTAGAAATCTATATCCTGTCAAATTATCCTTCAAAAGCAAAGGAGAAATAAAGGTTTTCTTAGACAAACAAAAATTGAAGGATTTTTCTGGAGTAGACCTACCTTACCATAAATGTTCAAAATAATTTCTTCATAGGGAAGGGATAAGTCAGAAATTCAGATCTACATAAAGAAAGAGTGCTAGAGAAAGTATAATATTTTATTTTTTCTTACTCTTAATCATCTGTTTGTTAAATATAATATCAATAATTTATCCATAGATTATAACTTAGGGATAAATAAAATGAATGACAGCCATGTCACAAGGGATGGGACAGAGGAAATGAGGATACACTATTAAAAGGGGTATTCACTACCTGTAAAATGGCACAGTGTTATTTGAAGAAGATTTAGATTAGTTATAAATATGCTGCAAACACTAAGGCAACTACTACTTTTTTTAAACAAAAAGCATAATTTATATACTAAGAGAGAAGAAATATTGAAATAATATAAATTGCTCAATTAAAATCAAAGGCAGAAAGAGGAAAAGACAAAAAAACACGGAACACACACAATACATAAAAAACAGTAAAAAGTATGGGAGATATTAATCCAACTATGTGAATAACAATAGAATTCTTCAAATCAATCAAGAGTCAGAGTAGATAAATGACAACAAAAAACTCTATGTTGTCTACAAAACTCAACTTGCAATAGGATGGATAAAGATATGCCAGATAAAGCCAGGTATGGTGATGCATTGTGTTAATCCCAACCTACTTGGGAGGCTGAGGCAAGAGGATTGTGAGTTTGAGGCCAGCCTGGGCAACCAACCAAGATTCTTTCTCAGGAAAGAAAAGAGAGAAAATAAACAAACAAAAAACAAACAAGTAAACAAGTAAGCTGGAGCACCTGTATTAATTTCAAACAAAACAAATATCAAAATAAGAAAAATTATAAAATAACAAAGGGATCAGTTCCCTAAGAAAACAAAATTTTTGTGTACTTAACTGAGTGCAAAAATACATAGGCAAAAAAAAAAAAAAATCATAGAACTGTAAGGAGAAATAGAGAAGTACACTTTGTAGTTGGAAAACTCAAAACTCCTTTATTGTCAACTGACAGATCAGTAAGGACATAGTCGAACTGAGCAACATCAAATAAATAAACTGGATCTAGTGATATTTATACAATACTCCTTTGAACAACAGCAGAATGTACAGTGATCTAAGTTCACATGGAACACTCACCAAGATGGAACACATACTAGGCCATCTAACACAGTTGAAAATTTTTAAAAGAAATTATATGAAGTATGCTGCAAGACCACAACAAAATTAAATGAGAAATAACAGAAAGACAAGCTAGAACATCCCAAAGTATGTAGCAATGAAACAACATACTTCTAAATAACATATGGGTCAAAGAAGAAATATCAAGAGAAATTCAAAATATACTAAAATAAATAAAAATGAAAATACGATGTGTTAAAATTTGTAAAATGCAGTAAAAAAGTGCTTAGAGGAAAATTTATAGCATGGACTGTATGAATTAGAAGACAAAAATATCTAAAGTTAATACTATCTAAGTTTCACCTTAGGAAACTAGAGATAGAAGACCAATATAAATCTAAAGCAAGCAGCTGGGTGTGGTGGTGCACACTTAGAATCCCAGTGAATTAGGAGGCTGAGGAAGGAGCACCACAACTTTGAGGCCAGCTTGATCAACTTCATAAGACTATGTATCTCAAGATAAAAATAAAAAGAGGTAGATGTAGCCCAAAGTAGTAAAGTCCCCTGGGTTCAATCTGTAGTACTGCAAAATACAAACCAAAATCCCAAAGCAAGCAGATGAAAATAATAAAAATCAAATCATAAATCAATGACATTTAAAATATGAAGCCATGGCCTGGGGCTGTGGCTCAGTGACAGAGCACTTGCCTAGCATGTGTGAGGCACTGAGTTTGATCCTTAGCACCACATAAAAATGAAACAAATACAATAAAGGCATGCTGCCCATCTACATCTACAAAAAAAATTTAAAAAAAAATGGAAAGAAGATTTTTAAAAAATAAAAATAAATAAAATATGAAGCCAATAGAGAAAATCAGCAAAACCAAAAGCTGATTCCTTGAATGGATCAACAAAACTTATAACCCCCTAGCTAGGCTAAACCAGGCGGGGGGCAAGGGGTGGGGTAGGAGAGAAAAGTTATTAGTTACTAATATCAGAAGTGAATAGATTCACTTCTGATTGACTCCATGGATATTAAAGGAAAATACATATTATGAACAGTTCTATGTCAACAAATTTAGTCACTTAAATGAAATGAACCAATATCTTTGAGACACAATCTACTAAAAACTCATAAGAGGAGAATCAGATAATCCAAATAGGCCATATGTCCATTAAAGAAACTGAATCAATAATTAATAACCTTCCAGAAAAGAATACCAGGTCCAGATGGTTTCACTAGTGAGTTCTATCATAGACTTAAGAAAGAAGTGATATTGGTTCTGTACAATTTCTAGAAAACAGAAGTAGGAGGAACACTTCCTAACTCATAGTCTAAGGCCAATATCACTCTAATACAAAAATTGGATAAGACTTTATAAGAGCTGGGTGAGGTGGCACATGCCTGTTATTCTAGTAGCTCAGGAAGCTGAGACAGGAGGATCATGAGTTCAAAGCCACCTTCTGCAAAAGCGAAGTGTTAAGCAACTCAGTGAGACCCTGTTCTAAATAAAATACAAAATAGGGCTGGGGACGTGGCTTAGAAATGGAGTGCCCTTGAGTTCAATCCCAGGTACCAAAAAAAAAAAACAAAAAAAAAACCCAAAAACAACAACAAAAAAATTACAGACCAATATCTCTCAAGAGTATAGATGTACATATCCTCAATTAACTATTATCAAATCAAATTGGACAATGTATAAAAATAATTATACATCATGACTAAGTGGGATTTATTCCAGGTATGCAAGATCGATTAAACATACAAAATTGAGTAACATAATCTGTTACATAACAAGTTCAAGATGAGAAATATGGCCATATCAACAGATACAGAAAACATATTTTATAAAATTCAACATTCATTCATGGTAAGAACTTTCAGCAAACTAGAAAGAGAGAGGAACTTCCTCAATTTGATAAAGAAAACTAAAACAGACTTACAGCTAACATCATACCTAATCATGAGAACAATTTGATGCCTACAAATTTAATAACTCAGATGAAGTGGACCTATACTTCCAGAGGAAAAAAACTAACAAAAACTCATGCAGGGCTGTAGCTCAGTGGAAGAATGCTTGCCTAGCATGTGTGAGGCACTGGATTCCATCCTCAGCACCACATATAAATAAATAAATTAAATAAAGGTAGTGTGTACATTTGCATTCTCATGCAAAGAAAAATTAGATGGGTTCCCCCTAAGATCAGGAATAAGATAATGTTCTCTTTCACCCCAATTTTCCACACTGTACTAAAATTTGATATCGTATACACAGAAAATTCTGAAGAATTAAAATAAAGTCTCCTGCAACTAATAAGCAATTATAGCAAATCTGCTTGAAAAGCCAAATGCTTTTCTATATACCAGCAACAAACAATTGCAATTTGAAATTTAAAACCCAATACTGTTTATAATAACACCAAATGACTGATACACTTAGGTATAGATCTAGCAAAATTAAAAAAGACCTGATGAAAGAATCAAAGATGTGAAAAATAGGAAGTTGTTCCATATTCATGGATAGGCAGATTCAATATTGTTAAGATATCAATTATTCCTGTCCAGGATCTGAAGCAATTTTGACCAAAACCTCAGCACATTATTTTATGGATTTTGATAACTGATTCCAAAATTTATATTGAAAGGCATAAGAGCCACAATTGTTAATAGTACAATGTGAAAAAGCAGAGAACTGACCATACCTGATTTAAAGACTTACAAATGGATAGTAATCAAGAGAGTGTGGTATTGAGAAAGAAAAGATTACCAAATCAGTGGAATGATATAGAAAAACCCAGAAACAGGTCCATAGAAAAATGGTCAACTGATCTTTGGCAAGGAGCAAAATCGATTCAAGGAGAAAAGATAATGTTTTCCACCCAATGATGCTAGGACAACTAGATATCCACATGTAAAAGAATGAAGTTGACTTCCTACCTCATATCATATGCAAAGTTTAATTTGATTACAGACCTAAATGTAAAAACTTAAACTAAAAAAGTCATAGAAGAAACATCGAAGTAAATCTCCATGACTGTGTCTGTCAGTAGTTTCTTAGATGACACAAAATATAAGTAACAAAAGAAAAACAAAGATGAATTAGACTTTGCCAAAATTAGAATAGTTTGTTCTTCAAAGGATACCATTAAGAAAATGAAAAGACAATACATGAAATGGGAGAAAATTTTTGTAAATCAGATCTCAATAAGAATCTAATATTTAGAATATGAAAAACTTCTACAAGTCATTAAAAAAAAACTAATTTGGGACTGGGGTGTAGCTCAGTGGTAGAGCACTTGCCTAGCATACCTGAAGCTCTGGATTTTATCTCCAGCATCACAAAAACTAAGCAAAGAAAACATAATAAAAAAAAGACATGCAAAAGTTCAGTAAATAAAAATGCTCAACACTATTACTTTCTGGAAATGAAAAACAAAATCATAATGACATACCACTTCATATCCTTTAAAGATGATACACAGCTGGTAGAAGCATACAATTTTGCAGCCACTTTGAAAACAGTTTGGCAATTCCCAATTGATTCAAAATAGAGTTACCATGTAACTGAGCAATTCTGAAAATGAAAATATATGTGCATACAAAAACTTTGCCTAGAACTGTTCATAGTAGTGTTATATGTCTCAGCCACAAAGCAAAAAAACAAAAACAAAACCCCAAATGTCCATTGACTGAGAAGGGGACAAATAAACAAAATACTCTATATCCATACAAGGGAATATTATTCGTACATAAAAAAGCATTAAGTACTAATAGAACCTTGAATATATCAAGTTAGCAAGTAAATTCTCTTTAATTTTCACATCACAGAAATACTATTTTCACTATTTCAGTTTTCAAATTTTCTGTTAGAAAGGCGGGCACTGAATTCTTTCATGTGTTTTAATCACTGTGTTCTTTTTATTCTTCCTAATATGCTTCACCCATTTTCTCTTTTATTTCTTCTAGAGATCTATTTAGTTTCTTTTTTTCCCTCTCGAACTAGGTTTTAATTTTATTAATCTGTTTATATTCTATGTCACTATTTTCTGTTTTCATAACCACTTTCTTTCTACACTTTTAGGCTTACTTTAATGTTTTCTTGTTTTCAAAAAATGCTGAATTTAACTAATTTTAATATTTTTTCCTAATCATTATACTTATAGCCATACATTTTTAAGTATTTTGTTACAGACAGTTATAGCCTCCTTAGTTTTTCAGTCTACTTCATTAGTCTACATTTTTTTCCTTGGGTAAATCGGTCTATTAACATCCAACCTACCTGGGTCTATATCTGTTTCCATGAGCAGCATGCCTTTGTACCAGTCCTCATGCTGTGCTCTAAACAAGACTGAGACTAGGCGTCTCCTACCTGTGGCGTAACCCTAACCAACCAGTATTTATTTTTTATTTATTTACTTAATTAATTTGATTTTATTTTTTAAATACACAACAGTGGAATGCATTACAATTCTTATTACACATATATACCACAATTTTTCATATCTCTTTTTGTATATAAAGTATGTTGACACCCAATTCTTTTTGTCTTCATTCATGTACTTAGGATAATGATGTCCATCACATTTCACCATCCTTGCTAATCCCCTGCCTCCTCCCTTTCCCTCCAACCCCTCTGCCTTATCTAGAGTTCGTCTATTCCTCCCATGCTCCCCCTCCCTACCACACTATGAGTCAGCCTCCTTATATCAGAGAAAACATTTAGCATTTGTTTTTTTGGGATTGACTAACTTCATTTAGCACTAACTTCTCCAACGCCATTCATTTACCAACCAGCATTTATAAGGAGCAACTTTGAATTGTTTATTAACTTTTCACATGTATCATAATTTTTCTCAATTAGAAGAGCCTGGAATGCAAGAATCCTACCTTACATTTCTGTATTTTCACCATGATTTCTGCAAAGGAGATGACAAATAAGTGTTGGGGGGATGATCTAATAATTTTTACCTTGAGTTTTTCCAAATCTGGCCTTTCAATACTGACTACCTCTGCCAGCAGCTGGGCTTCAAGACCATCTTCTGTAACTGTGAAATTGAGGAGGGTTGTCTGAGCTTGTAATTCTGGCTTATGGTGAGGATTTGCCAGTTTTGTGTGAAGGATAAGGCGAAAGTTCTTGTTGAATTCACATTCCTTATCTCCAATCCTTATATACCTAAAGGAGGCAAAATACAGACATTCAGAAGAGTCATGAACCATTGCTGTCACTGGAATGCCATTCCACTACTGCATTTTGACAACATACCTAGGCCAGAAGACCAGGTGATTTGGGATTTTTCAGCTTCTCTCTCTCTCTGTCTTTTTTTTTTTTTTTTTTAATAGGAAGAATAGGAATTTCCTACCAAATCCCTGTGTGATTATTTTTCCTCTGATGTGAAATGGTAACAATAAGAACATTCACCTCTTGGCATTGTAAATACCATCAATCTTACAGAAAATCTTTAAGAGTAAATGTTAGTTTCATTATACTTTCTATGATTAAAATTATATTAAAGCCAGGCATGGTGGTGTACACTTATAATCCCAGAGACTAGGGAGGCTGAGGCAGAAGGATCGCAAGTCTGAGGTCAGCCTCTGTAACTTAGTCAGACCTATTTCAAAAAAGAACTGGGATGGAACTGAGTGGTAAAGCACCCCTAAGTTCAATCCCCAAAACAAGACAAATAAAAAATATGTTAAACATTGCTATTCTTTAAGGATAAAATATGTACATGTGTGTTGATGTGATATCTATGTATTAAGTATATTGATATTAAAGTATATTGTTGATATTAAATATATTGATGTGATATTTATACTTAAGTATATTGTTAAATAATATATAAAATCTGGGCTGGGGCTATAGCTCCCAGAGTGCTTGGGTTAGATCCTCAGCATCACATAAAAATAAATTAACAAAGATATTGTGTTCATTTATACAACTAAAAAAATACTTAAAAAGTATGTGAAATCTTTTTTATTTTATAAAATATTAAAATATACATGCTTACATACACATTATAAATGTATTAATGTTATTTTTCTTAAATTATTAAAAGTAAATATATACTTGAAATTATTTTCTGATATTTTTGGCCTTTTTCATTTTCTTTCCTGCTAGGAACCTGCTATAAGAACTAGTAGATGGGGAGCTTTTCAATTCATGCGTCAGAGAAAACAAAATTCATGAAAACTGAACTTCTCAAACTTTTCTGCAAAAGTAGCCTGGGATGGAAGTTCACATAAGGTTCACGGGAGCCTGGTTAAAATAAGGAGCATTCACTCTTCTTTTTCTTAAATTTTCATATCAATTTGGATTCCTCCCTATTAAGTTTATAAACCATTTTGATTGTAGAGATGTTATAATGACAAAATACTATTCTAATCTCATATTATTTTAAATTAAAAATATAATCTAAATAATCTGAGAAAAAATATTTACAACCTGTCTCATTGGCTTGCAAGTGAAGTGTTATTTCACTAAATTTATCAACTTTGGAAAATTGAGTGTACTCAAAAGAAGAGACAGGTTCAACACTTAATTGCAACATTTAGTTCTTAATTTGAGGAGAGATACTCAGAATGCTAAAATACAGTTATATTTTAGGTTGTTATTGGTGGATATTTTATAATTATGCCTTATAGATCAAATCTTTTGTAAGGAAAGTGCCTCCATGTATTGGCTACTCTATTTGTTCAGAGAAGTTTTTATGAAACAACTTGCTTTAATGTGTATACATTATAAAAATTATGTTTTTAAACCAGCAAAGCTTTAACCATCTGAATAGGAATTAAGAATTTCAAAGGTTCAATCTCCAGCAACTCACCCCCCAAAAGAATTTCAAAGGATGGATCAAACTCATGACCTAATATCTTTTTTTACCCAACGGTCAGATTTTTTCATTGCAGAGTGATCTTACAACAGAAAACATCACAACTGTTGATTGTATGAGCTTGAAAAAGAGGCCACCAAATAAGCCACTCTGACAATCTTCTTTAAGTTCAAAGGTGCATTCATTTACTTTATCTAGTTTTGGATTTTTTTTTCCTGCCATCCTATCATTTAATTCTTTTCCAGGAAGAAAATGAGCGATTCAGCTAGCAACCCACTTCTGACTAAAGCTAAAATATATCTGTGTATTATGCATTTTCCTTTTGAAAAAAGGACAATGTTAAAAAAGATGAGTATTGACATCATTGTTAAAAATACATACTGAGAACAATAAGAAGTGAATGAACCAGAGATCAAGTATAGTAAATGGACCAGGCAGGACTGCTAGTTTATCCATCAGCATGGTGGCCCTGAGTCCCTATTTTCTAGAACACTAATCTGATACCATCTGTTCACCTGTTTCTACATATTTTCTGGTTGATGTCATGCTCATTAAAATAATCGTATGTCTGATAATTTATTCTGTTATTTCTGTTATCATGAAACACATTACCAAAAACATCCAGTTAACAGTGACTTAACACCTACACCACTCCAGGCTGTCAGAGTCTTCCAGGCACAGGACATATAACTATTATCAAGACAAGCATGGTCTCTGCTCTCACAAAAACTGTTTCTTACTTTCTCATGACAGGCAATATATTATTTTTTATTTATTGATTTATTCATTTTTTTATTTTATTTATTCATATGTATCAAATTCCTACAATGTGACAGGAATACAAAGACCAAAGATCTGACCAATTAAAAGATAAGCAAAAGAGTAGAATAGACTTTTCCCCATTGAGATGTATAAATGGCCAACGGAACATGGAAAGGTTCTTAACATTAGTTATTAGTGAAATGCAAATCAAAGCCATAGCAAGGTACCACTTCTCACCTACTGGAATGACTATAATCAAATGATAGAAAGTGCTGGCAAAAATAAGGAGCAGTTGGAACCCTTGCACAGGTAGCTGGTGGGAATGTAAAACTGCACAAACACTGGAAAACAATTTGGCAATTCCCTGAATCATTTCAGCAATTCCATTTCTGGGTACATACCCAAAAGAATTGAAAACGTATGGGCTGGTGTTTTGGCTCAGGGATAGAGTGCTCACCTAGCATATGTGAGGCACTGGGTTTTTCCTCAGCACCACATAAAAAGTCATTGTGTTCATCTACAACTAAAGAAAAATTTTTTAAAAAAGAATTCAAAATGTATGTCAACACAAAATTTGCATATGAATGTTCATAGCAGCGTTATCCATAATAGCAAAAGGTAAAAACAACTTGAATGGGATAAACACTATGGGCATATCTAATCCATGGGATGCTATTTGGCCATAAAAAGGAATGAAATACTGATATACATGTTGGACATCAGTACCCTCAGAGGATTAGTTCTAGGATCACCTGTGACTACCAAAATCTAAGGATGCATAAGTCTCTTAAGTTGGTCCACCACACCCACAGATGTGAATTCATGGATACTGTATGCTATAACATGGATGAATTTTCAAAACATTATGCCAAGTCATAAAACCAGTCATAAAAGAGCATTGTGAATCCTTTTAGAGGAAATGTCCAGAACACGTAAATCAATAGTGACAGAAAGCAGATCAGTAGTTGCTTAGGACAATTCTAACATATTGTGCTGATGGCTGTCCAACTCCAAAAATACACTTAAAGGCCAAATCATTATCTTTTGGACTTGATTCGATCTGTAAGGTCAGTAACGACACCAATTATAGTTTCTCAGAGGTTTGTGCTTATCCTCTGAGAGTTATGAGGTGTGCCACAGCATGATCTTTTTTTGAAAAGGACATTTTTTTCTTAGTGAATCTGCCTCTTTTTGACAACATATTTAACCATGTCTGTCGTGGAGACCATCATCAAAATTTGAGTTTTCCTTTCCAAATATTTCCAAAATTGATCTCACAAGTAGCTTCGAGGAAATCTTTGCTAGCACTGTCTCATGTGTTACTCTTAACCATGAACAACTGGCTTTTAAATGAAACTTTAAGAGTAAAGGTCTTATGTAATTACTGCCTGGAACTTTACATATGAGAGATACCAAAGTTTAAATTCATTTGAGTCTCCACAATAAAGCCTGTACTTACACCTCTGTGTAAATTCTGCAATTTCTGACTTCCACTCCATCTTGGATCGAATTCATTCCTCCCTGGTGGAGAGTCTCAGAGAAATGCCATGCCTGTTACAACCTTCTATGGTGTCAGCTTGTTTGAATGTTCCTTCACTCACTGGAGAGTTTTCACCAGGTTTAAATTCCTATTTCATAAACTTTGTGTTTTAACCACTAACCTATATCCCCAGATGAAAAGAGAATGTAATTATTTTTATGCTTTAGCATCTTAAATTTAAAGGAAGAACAATGACTAAATTAGGACTAGAATTTTTATTATTTTGTACTAGGAGACTCCTCACCAGATAGGATTAGGAAGTCCAATTGATTTTGAGATATGCATGGTGTGTGTGCATAAGAATTAAAACAAATGACGCATAAGATGATTTACTGTTGAAAGTACAGGCTGTGCATCCCTACAGTGAAAAATCCAAAACCTGAAACTTTTTTTTGGTACTGGGGATTAAACTCAGGGGAACTCCATCACTGAGCCACATCCCCAGCCTTATTTTGTATTTTATGTAGAGACAGGGTCTCACCGAGTTGCTTAGCACTTCACTATTGCTGAGGCTGGCTTTGAACTTGCGGTACTCCTGCCTCAGCCTCTGGAGCTGCTGTGATTACAGGTGTGCACCACCACACCCAGCTTGAAACTTTTTGACACCACCATGATGCACAAGTGAAAAATCGCACACTTGACTTTATGTGATGGGTCACAGTCAAAATGCAGGCGCACGAAAAATATTGTATAAAATCACCTTCAGTCTATGTGTATAAAGTGTACATAAAACAAATGAAGTTTGTGTTTAGACTCTTGGGTCACATCCCCAAGATATCTCATCATGTATATTCAAATATACCAAAGTCCATAAAAAACAAACAAACAGACAAAATCTGAAAGACTTCTAGTTCCCAGGATTTTGGATAAGGGATATTATCCTGGAGGAGGTTAAGTAAGAAATCCCCTCTAGAGCAGGGGCTGATGAACTTTTGTTGAAAAAGGTAGAGAGTAAATATTCTGGGCTTAGTTCATATACATTTGTCATATATTCCTGTTGCTTATAACCCTTTAAATATCAATCTTAGCTCATGAGTCACA